TTCTCTCCCTTAAATTGAAATCATTATTAATTCATTCTTTATTTGTGCAAAATAAAAATCTTTGTGTATGTTGTTCCCTCATTCCTCCAGCTAAGCAGCTTCAAAAAATACAACGGTAAAAGAAAGAGATAGTTATTGCCAATGATCATTCCAGCAGTGTGTACAGCAGTGGTCAATGACTTTATGCACAGCACTCAAGAGGAGGACAGAATGAATGTCTTTTATTTAAAAAAACAGGTTTATGCGTACCAAATGTTTTACTGTCATGTACTAGTCGAAATTTAGCATAAAAGTGAGGTTTTATGCATGGGACACTTTGCACTCAGGGACATGCATCTAACTCACAAACTGTGCAAAGCCACATCTCAGGGCTGCCTTAGCACATACTCAATTGTACCTGCCTGTACGCTCACAACATCTCTCCTTTGCCATGTTGTGCTTTGCTTCCTCAACCAGAGCATAAAGGCTCAGGGTACTGCTGTGTTGCCTTGCTATTTAGCGCCGACATGCTTCTGACAGGGAGCATGTCTCAACGTATTAAGCAGTAGTACTCACTGATCTCTAATGAGGCATTCGTCAGTCAGAGGTTCGTCGCGTGGCCCATCAAGGGCAGCCTCCAATGTCAGTCCGGGAGCTTGGACACGGGTCGAGTGTTTGAGAAAGGTGGTCACAGTCATGGGGTTCAGTCTGTACAGTCTGGAGAGTGGGCTGTGATCAACCCTGTGGGTCCAGTGCAATCAGTCTGGAGAGTTGCAGGAGCGCAATGGGGATCTATGCAGATATCATTCAGGGACCTTGTTACTCATAATTCTGGGCTGTCTGACCAAGTTGCTCAAGGAGATAGACCACAGTCAGTCTGGAAATCCGTCAACTAAATGTCAAGGAGAAAGAAATGTTATCAAGAGGCCAGTGCTCGAGGAAAACGGGTGGGGAAATTAATGACGGGCAGTGGAAGAAGACTCTAGGGATGCAGAGGGGATGACAATAATGAAGGGGGGAGTGGGGAAGCGACTCAATAAATGAGGACAGGAGACTATAGAGCATGGAGGAGTGTCAGATGTCACGCAAGAGGGGAGGCACATTGACAGTGAGCAGCACTGTGACTTCCAGGTAGGCACAATGAATTACAAGACCTGGCATGTTCACCTCGTGGGCATTTGGCTGAGTTAATTGAATTTTACGGGGAGAAAATACCCCTATGTCCTCTGTAGCTGTCGGAATTGAAGTGGCCTTCACATAATTAAATCTAGAAACCAGCCGGCTTAAATCAGTTCATACTCAGGGTTGTGGTTAATGCTTCTGTGAAGTTGAAGTCCAAGAAAATATCCTTTAGTAGTCTATAAACTCGAGTGAATATTATGAACAGGAGATATCTCAGCTTGCATCAATGTAGTGAATGTTCTTGAAAGTTGCATTTTCTAACTTTCTAGTCAGGTAATAATCTGGTAGAGCACATCACTGAGCTGTTACAGAATCAACCTGAGTTTCATTGTCTGGAAGCTTCTTTTTTAATTAATTCATAGGATGTTAGTGTTGCTGGCTAGGCCAGCATTTGTTGACAGTTTGCGTTGAAAAGGTTGTGAAGTGCTGCTTTCTGGGACCAACGCGTTCCATTGAAGTTAGATTACACCTATTGTGCTGTTAGAGAGGGAGCTCCAGGAAGCTCTTAACCATGACTGGGGAGGCAAGTGGTGGGAAGAACACACATCACAAATTCAGACAAGCACAGTCGTCCTTTCCCCATTCCATAATTCTGACCACCACAAACTTGCTGTACATTAAAATAATTATCCTAATGGTTAAAATGCCTGATTCATGAAGTTGGGCATATATAGTCTAAGAGGCAAGTAATTATCAAAATATTGCCATTAGCCCTCATTGAAATGTGGTACCGACTGATTATTCTAATAACTTAGGCCAATTTCTTTTTCTTGACAAACTCAATTTCAAATATAGACCTATCCTGTGAATTGATTATCCCTGAGATAGTAGGAACTGCCGATGCTGGAGAATCTGAGATAACACGGTATAGAGCTGGATGAACACAGCAGGCCAAGCAGCATCAGAGGAGCAGGAAAGCTGACATTTCGAGTCTAGACCCTTCTTCAGAAATGGGGGAGGGGAAGGGGGTTCTGAAATAAATAGGGAGAGAGGGGGAGGCGGATAGAAGATGGATAAAGGAGAAGATAGGTGGAGAGGAGACAGGCAGGTCAAAGAGGCGGGGTTGGAGCCAGTGAAAGTGAATGTAGTTGGGGAGTTAGGGAGGAGATAGGTCGGTCCAGGGAGGACTGACAGGTCAAGGAGCGGGATGAGGCTAGTAGGTAGGAGGTGGGGGTGGGGCTTGAGGTGGGAGGAGGAGATAGGTGGGAGGAAGGACAGGTTAGGGAGGCAGGGACGAGCTGGGCTGGTTTTGGGATGCGGTCGGGAGAGGGGAGATTTTGAAGCTTGTGAAGTCCACATTGACACCCTTGGGCTGCAGGGTTCCCAAGCAAAATATGAGATGCTGTTCCTGCAGCTTTCAGGTGGCATCATTGTGGCAATGCAGGACTCCCAGGTTGGACATGTCGTCCAAGGAGTGGGAGGGGAAGTTGAAATGGTTCGCGACTGGGAGGTGCAGTTGTTTGTTGCGAACTGAGTGTAGGTGTTCCGCAAAGCATTCCCCAAGCCTCCGCCTAGTTTCCCCGATGTAGAGGAGGCCACAACGGGAACAGCAGATACAGTATACCACATTAGCAGATGTGCAGGTGAACATATGTTTGATGTGGAAGGTCTTCTTAGGGCCTGGGATGGGGATGAGGGGGGAGGTGTAGGGGCAGGTGTAGCACTTGCTTCATTTGCAGGGAAAAGTGCCGGGGGTAGTGGGGCTGGAGGGGAGTGTGGAGCGGACAAGGGAGTCATGGAGAGAGTGGTCCCTCCGGAAAGCAGATATGGGTGGGGAGGGAAGGAGGGAAAAATGTCTTTGGTAGTTGGGTCAGATTGCAGATGGCGGAAATGTCGGAGGATGATGCGTTGGATTTGGAGGTTGGTGGGGTGGTACTTGAGGACAAGGTGGATTCTGTTTCGGTTGTTATTGCGGATAGGGGTGTGAGGGATGAGTTGCGGGAAATGCGGGAAACACAGTCGAGAGCATTTTCGACCACTGTGGAGGGGAAGTTGCGGTCCTTGAAAAACGAGGACATCTGGGATGTCTGGGAGTGGAATGCCTCATCTCTGGAGAAGATGAGGCGGAGGCGAAGGAATTGGGAATAGGGGATGGCCTTTTTGCAGGAAGGTGGGTGAGAGGAGGTGTATTCTAGGTAGTTGTGGGAGTCGGTAGGTTTGAAATGGATATCGGTTTCCAGGTGGATGCCAGAGATGGAGACAGAGAGGTCCAGGAAGGAGAGAGAGGTATCAGAGATGGCCGCTTTCTACAGACAAAGGGGGTGGCCATGGGTACACACATGGGCCCAAACTATGCCTGCCTCTTTGTAGGATACGTGGAACAATCCCTCTTCCAAAGCTACACTGGCCCTATCCCCCACCTCTTCCTCCGTTACATTGATGCCGCTTCGTCCTCCCACGAGGAGCTCGAACAATTCATCCACTTCACCAACACCTTCCACCCCAACCTTAAGTTCACCTGGACCATCTCTGATACCTCTCTCTCCTTCCTGGACCTCTCTGTCTCTATCGCTGGCATTCACCTGGAAACCGATATCCATTTCAAACCTACCGACTCCCACAACTACCTAGAATACACCTCCTCTCACCCACCTTCTTGCAAAAGGCCATCCCCTATTCCCAATTCCTTTGCCTCCGCCGCATCTGCTCCCGAGATGAGGCATTCCACTCCTGGACATCCCAAATGTCCTCGTTTTTCAAGGACTGCAACTTCCCCTCCACAGTGGTCGAAAATGCCCTCGACCGTGTCTCCCGCATTTCCCACAACTCATCCCTCACACCCCTACCCGCAATAACAACCGAAACAGAATCCCCCTCGTCCTCACGTACCACCCCACCAACCTCCGGATCCAACGCATCATCCTCCGACATTTCCGCCATCTGCAATCTGACCCCACTACCAAAGACATTTTTCCCTCCCCACCCTTATCTGTTTTCCGGAACGACCACTCTCTCCGTGACTCCCTTGTCCGCTCCACACTCCCCTCCAGCCCCACTACCCCCGGCACTTTACCCTGCAACCGAAGCAAGTGCTACCTCTGCCCCTACACCTCCCCCCTCACCCCCATCCCAGGCCCTAAGAAGACCTTCCACATCAAACGGATGTTCACCTGCACATCTGCTAGTGTGGTATACTATATCTGCTGTTCCCGTTGTGGCCTCCTCTACATCGGGGAAACCAGGCGGAGGCTTGGGGACTGCTTTGCGGAACACCTACACTCAGTTCGCAACAAACAACGCACCTCCCAGTCGCGAACCATTTCAACTCCCCCTCCCACTCCTTGGATGACATGTCCATCCTGGGCCTCCTGCAATGCCACAGTGACGCCACCCGAAAGCTGCAGGAACAGCATCTCATATTTTGCTTGGGAACCCTGCAGCTCAATGGTATCAATGTGGACTTCACAAGCTTCAAAATCTCCCCTCCCCCGAACGCATCCCAAAACCAGTCCAGCTAGTCCCCGCCTCCCTAACCATTCCTCCTACCTCAAGCCCCATCCCCATCTCCTACCCACTAACCTCATCCCGCCTCCTTGACCTGTCCGTCCTCCCTGGATCGACCTATCCCCTCCCTAACTCCCCGCCTACATTCATCTTCACTGGCTCCAATCCCGCCTCTTTGACCTGTCTGTCTCCTCTCCACCTATCTTCTTCTTTATCCATCTTCTATCTGCCTCCCCCTTTCTCCCTATTTATTTCAGAATCCGCTTCCCCTCCCCCATTTCTGAAGAAGGGTCTCGACCCGAAACATCAGCTTTCCTGCTCCTCTGATGCTGCTTGGCCTGCTGTGTTCATCCAGCTCTACACCGTGTTATCTATAATTGATTATCCCTATTCATTTGTATAGATCGTTTTTCAAGACTTAGACGGAATAAATATCTTCAGGTTTCTTTAAAAGTATCTATATTTGAATTTTCCAGTTATTTTTAAAGCATCTTACTGATTCTGAATTTTGAGTGAAATTGGCTCCAAGGTAAATGGGCTACAACTCTTTCGACTCGCACATCTCAATGTTTGCAGACGACAGGTTATAGGATGCAAAATTTACAGCTCAATTCATTTTGCTTTATTTACAGCAACATTGACTTGATTTCTCCTTCCAATGTCACAAAGAAAAAAATTAATATGAAAACAGGAAGAATTTTTTGTTCACATTCAATGCAAAATTTAAAGCCAGTCCCAACAACATTTTGTATAGAAATGTTCAGTTAAAATACTAACAGGACTATTTGGAACCATTCAATGAATGGAAACATACAGTTGTAAAAGATTTTTCACTCGACAACAACAGCCAGCTGGTAGAGGGAATGTGAAAAGCAAAGAAAGCTGCCTGAGGGACAGTCAGTCTTATGTTAAAATGCACAATAATTCTGTTAGAAGTTTCTTAAAATGATTTTAATTCCCAGAAACTTTTTATGGTGGGATTTCCTCAGACAGAATGTGCCGGAATTAACTTTCGCCATGGGAGTCTCACCAATCAACTGGATAACTGGTGCATGCCACATAGCATCTCCATGGAGGAAAGATGGTCAGAATCAAGAGCCATCAAGCACTTAATAGGCCAGCATTGGGGCGACCTCAGTACTTTACTTAAGAGTTGCCAGTCAGTCACAGACCAGCAGTTCCCCATTCCCATCAGTACCACTGGGAGTGGTAGCTGTTGTCTGTCATACATCATCAAAGACCAAATATCTCTGAGGGACAGAGACATTAGGTGAGTGAGAGTGGAATGGGTATGGTGGAAGGAAGTTGGAAGAAAACGCAAGTGGTTGGAGTGTGAAGCTCAGCAGCAACAATCCGCGCACACCCCCACCTCCATTCTTGATGTTGTGCCCCTCTGTAAGACACTGAGTAACTTTAGATGTGGTGTCCCCTTGGATTTGTTTTTCAAACTCCGCAGGTGGTAACCCTTTCTCCTGTTGCTGGTTGACTAGAATAGAATAGAATATTGTTTATTGTCACATGTATTTTTTTACACAAAAAAAGTAATGAGAAGTGTTTAAGTCACCATGCAACAGTTTCTAGAATATTAACAGAAGGGATGGATAAAATTTTTTTTTTTGAAAATAACAGAAAGTCCATCTGTCGGGGGCACGGTGGCTCAGTGGTTAGCACTGCTGCCTCACAGCACCAGGGACCTGGGTTCAATTCCACCTTCGGGCAACTGTCTGTATGGAACTTGCATATTCTCCCCATGTCTGTGTGAGTTTCCTTCAGGTGCTTTGGTTTCCTCCCACAGTCCAAAGATGTGCTGGTTAGGTGGATTGGCCATGCTAAATTTGCCCATAATGTTCAAGGATGTGTCCGTTGGGTGGGTTATCGAGGGATGGGTCTGGGTGGGATGCTCTGAGGGTCAGTGGGGACTTGCTGGGCTGAAGGGCCTGTTTCCACACTGTAGGGATGCTACGATCTATGATTAGTTCAATTCACGGCTTTTGGGTTCCGAAAGACCTCTGTGCCGAGCTGCTGGAATACCGGGCCGGAAGCTGCTGCCAAAGCAAGCCATCCAGGCCGGGGTGCAAAACTTTGCAGAAGCTGCCCACCGAACACAGCCATAAAGCTCAGAAGGAACTGCTATCACCACCCCAGCAGCCGCCCACAACATACCTCCTCCACCTCGCCGACGTCATCTCTGCCAGTGTAACAGCTGGTACCGGTTCCTCATGCTCGCCCTTCTGCAAGCTGCCCACTCGATGCCACTGCCAGCGTCCCACTCCAGGCTCATTAGCCGCTGCCATGCTCCGGACCGCAACGAAGCCACCTCCCTCCTGCCTTCTGACAAAAAACGAGAAAAGAAGAGAAAAAAAAGTAAAAGAAAAGCGGACAAAGTGGACAAGCCCCAGGCAAGGAGCCTAGATGCTGCCTATTCCACTGCTGCCATCGACGGGTGGTGTCAGATTAAATGCCTACTCAAGGGCTCAGTTAATATACAGCTGGGAAGTTCAATCTTGACCTTCATGCCCCAGACTTAATTGGGCAGAGGTGGGCAGTCTTGGAGTCCCCACTCTATACCTTCCCTGTCCAAGTAAATGCTGCCCCCACCTTGATATCAATTGGGCACTGCATTAATTTCTGTCTTATATCATAATAAGTGATTTTTTTTAATATCGGAAAATGAATTAATTTCCTCTAACTTAGCGGAAAAGTAACAATTTTTTAACAGTAGGAGTTAAATTCAAACACAGATAATATATACCTATGTGTTTAGTAATTAATCATCTTCACCAAAAGCGTTAAGCAATTATATTCAATATTCAACAGTCCCTTCATGAAAAAAAATACCTTGACAGGCAAATTTCAATGTTAAAGGACCTGTGATTTATCAGAACTCTCAAAAACACTGGTAAAATCTCATTAATTTAGGGGGGAATAAGTGTTGGTTTGTGGTCAATTCACTTCTGGACAAATTCTGATTGAAGTGAGAAACTATATTAATGTCCCAATTCATTAACAATGTAATTATGCTCTCTTTTTACTAAAACACTACCTCATTGTAATGAAACTCAAAGCACCAACAAGAACATTCTGCTGCATTTCTCTCAAAATGTGACTTCTAGATCAGTACAAATTAATGCTCCCAACCAGAATGCGCTGAATCTCAATCTGCACACTAACTGAATGTCTTCATTGGACTTTTTTTTTGAGGTATGCATTCCAGTTCAGCTCAGGAAACTAATCAGTCAATACAACTCAAAAGAAGGCTTATGAGCAGCCAAATTTGATTAACCAACAATTTACCTTGATAGAGGTGAACATCTTTGTTAATAGAGCTCCCACATTTGTTTCCTCATCGTTTTCCCAAACAATTTCAGGCAGGACTCCAGAATTAGTAAACCAGGAACTGACACAGATTATTTTGACCATTTGTCTTAAAACAGTGATAGAAATACTTGATTAATTTAACCAGTTCCATTCCATAGGCATCTGAGATGCCTAAGGAGTGCTGACATATTAGAATAATGTTGTCCAATATTACTTCATTTAACCTGGCAAAATGATACCCAATTCCATTCCTGCAAAATTTTGGACCAGGATGCTGCCCCAGTATTCTGGAATTATAAGGCAGGGTTTGACAGTGAAGACCAAAGAAAATGAGTTTTATTTTATTTTATAAAACTAATTCTATTTACTGTAATGCTTTGGATTGTTTCTGGTGTTCTGCATGTTGGTCTGACCAAGCTGTTATGTCAGCTCTGTTATTAATCCTTAGTTGAATGCCTGTTTTTTAGCTAAAATGCAAGGTCATCCTGATAACCAAGTTCATTTTTAACAAGAACATTTCACTTTGATGACAAGTGCACCAAGGTGTTCAGCCTTTTGTTTTGGAGCCACTTTTAACAAGACAACTTAATTTTTGAAATTGAGCAAAGTGGATTTGCATGAATAACTCAATAAATTGTTGCAAAATTCCTAATGGAGAACATGTTGATTCTATAACATTTTGATGATATTAATAGAGCTTGGCCAATTTAGTTTAGTAACCATCAGAAGGATCGGCTTTAATCCAAATGGTTACGGGGCAGATATTTTTGACCCAGGATTCATTTTAATTAAAGTGGAGTAGCGAGCATCTGAAAAGTATGGAAGTGGTCCAATGGATTTGGAACCTGGAGTGAGGTAGGCCAGGGAAAGGCAATTGGGATGAAGAGCTTTACACACGAAAGGTAAAGGTAAAGTCACCCAGTCCCGCCAGACAATAGGGCTGCTCTCAGTTGAGGGGAGAGGTTGAGAAGGAAGGACCTTCATGGTAACCTCAGGCAGTACAGGAATTAAGCTAATTCTGTAAACCAACATCCTGCCAACTGAGTTAACCAAACCCCTTTTCATTTTATAGACAACAATCGCGCTGAATCAGCTTCCAATATGGATTGATATGTTCAAATTTTTATTGAAGAGCTCAATAGTCTCTAGGTTTGAGAGCAGTTGCTGTATCTAAACTAACTCCTGCCCTATAGACTTTGCGGAAGACATAGGTCTTTGCAGAATAGAGCATCAGTACGTTTAACCAACATGCAGTCCATTTTATTGACAGAGACATTATCCTGGAAAAAAAACTTAAAATAAAGTGAAAATTGTTGAAACTTAAAGATTCCAAGATGCAGTTTGAATTTTGTTGTAACGTTTTTATAGAAACAGTTATGCTTATAAATAAATTCTGCTGTATTCATCACATGCACGATATTGATACATATTACTGTATGCTGCTGAAATGTGCAGAAGTTACATTGAATCACTTTTTAATTTTACACTGTCCTTGTCTTGGATTCAGGACATTAAACCTCATTCATTGTGTTGGACAGGCTATTTTCTTTTTTGTCTCTGTTAGCTTTCTGAATTCCAGCAGGCATTCTATTGCACACTACATTGACCATTGATTTATTTTGTAATTGCTTATGCTGCTCTCTGGAAATTTGACTGCATCTCTTTTCTTTTCAATATCTTTAAAGACTAGACATCTTCAGGTTTATTTAAAGAGGTCATGACAACAGAATGTAGTTCAAATGCAGTACTGATCGAATTCAACCTGCATGGAGTTTTGACAAATTACTGAGATGGAACTATGCTTGAACTTTCTAGGTTTAATACGTTATCACCAATTGATTAGGCTCAAAATAAGTTGCTTTTTTTTTGTAAATCATTACATATTATTGGAGGCCTGCTTCAGTTTTTGATGTTGTCCTACCGACTGGAAATTGTTAATTTTTCACTTATTTTGTCAATTAGACTCTCAAAAGGCATTCATAAAAACTCAAGGTAATCAGATGGTGCAACGTCTTAGAATATTGTCCATTCATCCCGAGACTTAGCTCAAAGATGCCATAGACGATGGTGGAATGGGAGGCCGTGGCATTTTGAGAACATGGGCATCTTTACATTGTACCTGTTCATCTTATGGCTGGAAACTTAGGAACGCTTAGTACTGAAATTGTGTTCAAAAAGTTAAATAAATGTTGCATTCTTGGCATGAATATTGTCTCTTTGATGAATACGAAATTGATGTTAAAAATAATTTATAGTTTTTATTTATTCGCTCATGGGGTTAGGGTGTTGCTGGCTAACTGCCATTTATTGCCTGTCCCTAGTTGCCCTTGAGAAGGTGGTGGTGATCTGACTTCTTGAGCCACTGCAGTCCAAGTTATTCAAGGCAATTTGTATAGGAATATTTAATTTCATATTGTTTCTTCTCGGTGTTTAGCAAGTTCATATTGGCTCAATGATTGTTTTGGTTTCTGATGGTCAGACATGATGAATAAGGTCCAGTAGCAGTATATGCATCAGTGAGGTTATCACATTCCAACACAGGTTAATGTAATTATATAAATTAATTTGTAATTTTGACAGAAATGTTCCGTTAAAGGCCAGCAAGTCAGCATTTTCTTGCAATTTTACTGTCACTGTGAAATAGTCCCACTGTGCTCCAGTAATAAAGTTTTAGGGGTTTAAGGTCCATGAAGATTCTCCCGATTGTGTGCCTTTGACAGAGGAACCACAAAAATCCAAAAACCACTATAAACCTTTATCTATGCAAATCCTACACTATTTTTGTGAATTTTCTACTACAGTCATAGGTGGATAACCGGGAGAATGTTTGTGGGCCTTGAACACCCAACTGTAAATTCAATTTCAGGGTTCAATCAGACTCCAGAAGAAGGGAGTCAACTCCACTTTTCTACGGATTTGATTTGACCACAAATTCTTGATTTAGCAACTGTTCATCCACAGCCATGATGGAAAAACATCCCACTGAGAATGGATTCGATTAAAGCAAGTCACATTATTGCTTCCAGTCAGTAAAGAAACCCACACATATGCTGCTATACATTCAATTGAGAGCTGACATGAACAGCTATGTATAACATCATGAGGAGGGTGGTGCAATTTTAGGGACTGAAGTTTCTACTGAAGTTTCTATCATCCTTTCAATAGGATGAACAGTAGGCAAATGCATATAGCTGCAGCACACTTAAGGAACTTATGCAAATAACAAAGAAAGGGTCGGAAGATCACAAGTTGGGACTGAGAAAGCAGGGCTGCCTAAGAAAGTTGGGATTCTCGAGGGAAGCAATTACTTTATTGTAATTAGTAGTTTAATGGTACCAGTAATGTAAATCAGCAATCTTCAAAACCAGAATATTGAACAAAATAATTAAGACAATGAAATATTAGTTAGATAAATTAATAACCAAATACTGAAGAAGCTTATGCTTTGAGCAAAGTCCGACAACCACTGAGAGAAGGTGATTGTCGTGAGTGATTTAATATTGTTATGGACACAGAAAAATTTTATATCTAAATATTGGACAGGATCTTGTAGCAGGATATCTCATGACATAAATTTATTCCTATATCATTGAATTCTAAAAATATGTAATTAAGTTGATTGTTACTAACAGTGTAGTGCAGATCAATAGCGTATCTATGAAATGAATGGATAAAAACCCCTTATCTCTTTAACCAACAAGGCTTAAATATTCACATAAGGGTAACTTGGAGTAAGTAATTTAGAGTTGAATTACGTTAAAAAGAAGCGAAATCAAAGATGAGAAAGAAAAATTTGATTAGGAGGAAAAAGAGGCAGAAAGCCAAAAATCTAAATCCTAAAGGATATAAATTTTAAATTTAAGCAAGTCACCACTTCCAGAAATGAGACTCGACAGGTTCAATTGTCCGGCTTTTGTTCCATGAAGAATGCCTGGCATTTCATTGACAATAATTAATTTAAAGGAACAGGTAGTTCTACTAGAACGCGTGTTTTGTTAGTACAAATTGGCTGT